GGGCAAGAGGAGAGGTAAAGAAGAAAGAGGAGCAAGAGGAGGAAGTCTGGGAGGAAGAGGGGGGGAAAGGAGTAAGAGGGAGAGAAGGAAGAAAAGGGAGGAGAAACAACTTTTACTGAACCTGTATCAGTCACTGGACTAAGGGAATTATGTGAAATCTCTAGTTTATTTCCATAACAACTCTAAAGTAATAGATACTATCATTATCATTGTTTTACAAAGGAAGGGACTGAGAATTAAATATTTTAAGTTAATACTGAGGGGCAGCAGTGAAGTTTGATTCCAGATTTGTCTGTTTCCGGAGTTCCAACTACTAACCACTACCAAGAATTTGAAAGAAAAAAAGTTTGAGTGAAGGGTTTTCTTCTCTAGAGGTGATTTTTCCCGCAGACCCTCCAAACAGCTAGATAGCGAAAACTAAGATAACTACACTATTGTGAACTTTGCTTAACATCCATGGATGGATAGGTGGGCAGGGGAAACTTATTAATTACAAGTTAGGCAGGTGACATAATAACATACTAACAGTAATTTCAAAACATTTTCAAAATAGTATTTGTAATTCTTTTTGTCTCTAAAATTATTATAGTATATTTTTATCAGCAGTCTCTAAAATTAACTTTCACATATTTATTTTGGTTAAAATTGAATTATAAATATTTTCAGGCTAACAGATTTTATTTTCTTGCTATAATGTTTTTATAATCGATCTTTACAACTAGTGTTTTTGTACTAAGTACACACAATGTCAATTAATTTTCACTCATATTGCTATAGCAAGTAAACCCTCAGTTAGTTGTCTTTGATAAAGCAAGATGAAATTTTACCATAGACAGGAAGAAAAGAAATCAGCAAGTTCACAGTTTCAGTTAAATCAACATCATAATCTGTTAAAACAGTATTTTGTGATACTAATATTTTCATAACTCAATTCAAAATTTATCCATTCATCCTGTCTACAAAGCATATTGCCCAAATATTAACTATTTATCAGATAACCTACCACTGTGCTGACAGGTGGCCTTTATTTTCTTTGGCAGCAGTTCAAAGTTTCTAGAATGTATTGATGGCTAAATAGCTATTAACACTGATAAGAGCTCTTGCTGTGTTTCTTTGACTGGACCACCATATGGAGCTGATTTCAAAACAGAAAGATTAAAAGAGCTCACTCTTAACACATATAAGGGAACACGATGAGCACATTGTCTTTGATCCTTCTAAACTTACCTCCCAAGTCTGAAAACTTCCTACTCTTTCTGTTGACAGTCTTCTCTCAGTGTCTCAAGGAAAATTTATATTCTCCATGCTACGTCCACAGATGTGATTAACTAAGTTCAATCTTTCTTCAGGGTGTATATATATATTTAATATTAATTTTGTTCTCTCACCTAAGCCTTCACCCTGCATTCTATCAAAGTCTGTGGCTATTAAAGCTACAAGATTGACTATGAGGAATGTGGTGTATTTAAGGTAAGGATGCAATTAAAACCTAACTTTAATAATCACTATGCAAAATTTCAGTGTCCAGCCCTTCAATCAAACAGGATTAACACTGAGTCCCTCAGGAAGCCACAGTCTAGCATGGCCATGTAAGAAAACACTAGTAACCTAGGCTGCTAAAGAACACATTGGACATGAAGTTCAAAGATTCTGGTTTGAGGATCTGATACACCTAAATTAAGAGATTTGAGCACAACACTTTGCTCTCTAAGATAAAATAGAGAAAAATATACCTACTTTGTGAAATAAAAGAAAATACATGTTAAAATATTTTGTAAACTATAAAATGCTATATATAAAACATCAGTGATACCTTTACACACTCCTGGCAAGGAGATACAGGTAAAATTGCCCTCAGATCAATGAAAAGGGCAGGGAAAGTTTGAGCAAATGTTGGTATTGGCTTGCAGTTAGCAGGTACATGGTACTGACAACAAAGTAATGGGGCAAGAGGCAAAGAGTATAACGTAACTATTGGTTAGAGAATAAAAGAAGGATAAGTGGCAACCTTGGTGACTCATGGCAGACATTAATCATTTATTGAGTGATTTCTATATGCTAAAGTTAAAGAAGAATGTAAGATACACGCTTTTGAGGACCTTATATTCAGTGATAGACATTACTGTGTTAGCCAATATTTGTGAATCGTTTCCCTTTCCTGGACATGCAGGAGAATTACACTTCTTACTTAGTTAAATTTGGCATGGCCATGTGACTTTCTTTGGCCAATAAAATGAGTGGAAATGGCAGGTATCACTCTGGGTGAAAGCATTTAAAATGCAGTGTGCAATTTCTCCATATTCTTTTCTCATGCTCTAGAAATTATGGGAGCAGTGTTGATAAGGAGATGACACAAGATGAAAAAACCTGGAGTTCTGAGCCTTAACATATAGGCTAGCTGCCCTAGAATAGATTCTGAATGAATAAGAAATAAAGTTTTATTTTAATGAACCATGATTTTTTAATATCATTTATTACTGCACCATTACCTAGTCTATCCTGACTAAAACACATTGTACAGAGAAAGTATAGCATGGTGAAAGAGTACACTCATCCTTCAGTAGCCAAAGGGGATTGATTTCAGGACCTCCTGTGGATATCAAAATTCTCAGATGTTCAAGTCCCTTATACAAAATGGTATAGTATTTGTATATAACCTACGCACATCCTCTGGTACACTTTAAATCATCTCTAGATAACTTATTATACCTAATAAAATGTAAATGCTATGTAAATAGTTGCCAACACACAGAAAATTCAAATTTTGCTTTTTGGAAATTTCTGGAAATTTTTTTCAAATATTTTCAATCTGCAGTTGGTTGAATCTGTGGACGCACTAACCACAGATATGGAGGGCTGATCGTACATACATCTGAGGCAAAAGGAGCTGGATGTTTTACCTCATCCTAACTATTTATTATTGGTTGACTTTGAATATATTACTTAGTCCCTCTGAGCCTCAATGTTATCCTTGTAAAATGAAGATAATAATGCTTGCTTAAAGAATTGTTTCATGTGAGAAAGTGTCTATTTTTAATAGTAAATTAGTTAAACAGGAAGCCATTAGACTAGGAGGTTCTAATACCTTAGCAACCTATGTAAGCAAACCAAAACCTAAGCCTGTAAATGCCTAGAAGTTAAGAAACCAAAACCTAAGGACAACTAATCACAAACAGTCAACTAGGCTTTCCCAAATAAGGCAGCCGCTTGAACTATCGCCAATAAAATTATTTCTTGCTTTGCTTTTTCATCTTCTCTATAAAAGCCTTGCCCCTAACTCTTGTCAGTGGAGCTCTTCTAACCATTTCTGGTTTGGTGCTGCCCCATTCAAATTGATTTTTGCTCAAATAAACTCTTAGAACATTTAATATGCCTCATTTTATCTTTTAATAGTTAATCCTTGAAATGCTCATTATTATTATACCTCAGCAATAATAAAATACAGTTGAAATATCTTAAAAATAAACTCAACTCTTGTTGGTGCCACTACACATGGATGTCCCAATGCAATGGGTGCTAAAATCTATCAAGGGCTGGAAAATAGGAACCATCCTTTGAGGGTGTGAGGGGTGGGATATTCCCTTGTTCCAGGAAATAAGGGTGAGGGGGCCATGCGTTCCCGCTGGGGCATTTTTTGCATTTTGCAGTTGTTTAATTTTTTCTTTCTTTTTTGTAATTTTGAATTTTTTGTGAGACCCGGGTCTCAAAACAAGTGGAAACATCCTTACCACAGTGAGCAGACCACACGTACTTTGAAACCTTTCCAAGGATTGACGATTCTTGGAATCTGGAAATTCTGTTTTCTTTATGTTTTTATTTCTTTTAATTTTTATACAGATATATTCAGAGATCTAAGGAACTTTTTCCTTTCCCTGTCTTCTCCACCAACTTGAAAGTGAATAATTTTAGCAAAGGAAGGAGGAAAATACTATAGCAACATTTTGAGAGGTTTGGGATTTTTTATAAAAAAAAAAAAAGGAATGAATTGAGATGGAGAAAATGTCCCCACCTTAAGCCCACATGAATCCCTCTCTCCCACCTCTACTGTCTTCCTAAGTTTCTATTAAAGAATCCATTGAAGCAGCTCTCCTATCATCACAAAGATGCATTGAGTGAGGAATAAAGGAAAAGACAAAGAGCTGGATAAAGAGTCACAGCCCATTGGTTCCCCAGTCGGTGTCCTACAGCACTCAGAATGTGAGAACTTGCCATCATGGTCATAGCCTCCACATTCTGGAGTTGTGGCCGGCTGCTCAGCTGGCCCTTCTATCCTGGTCCTGGCATCTGGGCTCTCTTCACGCATCATCCTGCCTCAAAACTGCATGAAGAATCCCATCAGTCCAGGTCAGCTGTTGTCAAAAAACCACCAGACGTGGAGTCCCCTTGATCCTGACACCAGTCATGTCCCTGTGCGGTATGAACAAGATCGTTGAGATCTTGGCTTCTCCAGCATCCATGCCCAGGAAGTGTTTGACTGTAGGAAACCCAGGTTCTCTAAGGTTGTACTGAAACCACAGTCCACGACTAGGGAAGCTCACAAAGTCTTTATCCTTGGCCGTTGAAATTTACCAAGTCCTGAGCTATGAGCAGAAAGAACAGTACAGCAGCCAAGTGCTCCTGCCATGCCTGCAGGCTGAAAGAAAATGAGATTGTGGCACAGGACACCTCAGCCCTCCGAGTGCAAGCCAAGCACATTTCCCGGTAGGGTGCATTTTTGATTGCTCTCTTTTGAAGAGACTCGTTTGTCTCCTGTCTGAGAGCACCATACCTGAACAAACCTTTCTGTCATAAACACTTTTCTAGTAGTACAAACACACTGACTCACATTTTAATCTACACCTGTGTCCAGCTATGTGCTCCCACATGTGCTATGGTCTGTGTGTGTGGTCACCAAGGTGTGTGCGTGTGTGTGTGTGTGTGTGCGCCCACATATGTATGAGTGAACACGTGTTCTTTTGCATTACTCTCCATTTAAAAAACCTTCATCTTTAGTTTAAAAAAAAGTACCATATTTTTATTAGATTATGGAGAACTCTGACGGTTTTCCTCCCCTGCTATTCTCTTTCCTCCCTCCCATTCAGTGTTGTTTCACGTTAGACCTTATTTACTTTTCCATGCTGCTGTCTTTGGATTCACTAAGAACAACTTTGGTGAAATAGCAGATCTCAGTTTTCAAAAGTACAAGCTCTTATTTGTTTAATCTTTAAATTACCATGATAAAATGCTATACGAAATAATAGCATGACACTGCAGCACTGTTAACGTATAGGTTGTTTTCCTCACATTTTAAGTTTTGGTGATAACTGTCTTCATATTTAAAGTGTTATTTAGATTTATTAAGTCCCATATTTACTTACTATTTTATCTACTCCATTTCACTTTAATAATGCCAACCACGACCAGGTAAGAATAGAATTATTAGAACACAGATTTGGTTTTGCACCATCTGTACCTAAATCACTAATCCCATTGTACACAAAAGCATGCTGCCTAAGTATTACTAGTGGATGTGAGGTATTTTCCCCATCTAAAAATTTTATGTTCTTTTCAGAAACAAAAATTAAACTGATGCATTTGGAACATGCCCAGAACATCCACAAGACAGAGGATCAAAGGAAATGTGAGGCATGAACAGTTATTTTCCATGTAGGAGTCAAATGCTATATTTCAGAACAGCTTTTGATATTGATATGATTTCCTATTTGACCTTTTCCATGTTCCTCTTGATATCCAAAACACTTCAATTATTTAAGTGGATTTTTCCATTTTTAATACATATTTTTATAAATTATTAGGAGAAAAAGACCTTGATGATTAAAAAAACATTGGCTCATTAAGTAAACATGTAGCTTTTTAAAGACCCTTTTTCCTAGTAGTGTCAATTCCTGAAGTAATTCTCACTCTAAGAAATTGTATAAGATAGTGTTTATTGTTTTAAGGTGTTAGGTTTGGTGTAACTTGTTATGTCACAATGGATAACATGTCACAATGGATAACTAATACATTTGTTAAGATTGAAGAGAAAAAGAAACATTTAGGGTTTTTTGAAGCCTTCAGTATTTTAACCCTATTACTGATATGCATCAGCATGTTTTCTGTTTTAAACTAAAATTGTAGGACGGTATTGAGGCTTATCATGCTGATTCCTATTCCTAAATACATAAGGAGCTTCCTTATTTTCAAATAGGTTTTTTTTTTTAAGTCAGTTAATGTTGTCCAAAAGCACAAGATGAATTTTACTTATATATTTATTGGATTATATAGTATTTTTTAGGAAAAGCATCTGCCACAAAAATGTCTATTTCAAAAGGGTGCACTGCTGGCATGGATCACTGCTGCCAGTGCCCTGCTTTCCCTTGTAGAAGGTCATGTTTTGTACATTGTGAGGTTTGTATCAGGGCTATGTGGATATTCTATCAGGTGAGAGATGATTTGACTTCAAAGATGTTCTTTGTTTCACTAAGTTGTATAATGTCAAGGGATTCTGCTGTTACTAAAAGAGAATGTGTTTGATGCCAGATTGACTGCATAATTTCATCAATATGATTTTCTGTCTTCCTAACTCCAGAAGATCTCCAATAAGATGCTGACTTCACTATCATTTCATCAGCAATGCTTCTCTAAGAATATCTGGTGGAGTCTTGGGGAGCCAGGCTAGCTGGATATTCTTACTAGGTAAACATTTTGTTCAAGGTTCAATTAATGGTGGAAAATCAAGGTGGAGGGAGGGTGTTGGAATATGTATAACTTTGCTAGGGCTGCCATAATAAAGTACCACAGACAGGCTTAAACAACAGAAATTTATTTTCTCATTCTGGAGGCTAGAAGTGTCAGCATGATTGATTTCTTCTGAGGCCTTCTCTCCTTGGCTTGTAGATAGCCATCTTCCTCTGTGTCTTCACATGGTCTCCCGCCTGTGCATGTCTGTGGCTTAATCTGCTTTTCTTATAAGAACACCAGTCATATTAGATTAGGGCCCACCCTAATGACCTCATTTTACTTCTTTAAAACCCTATCTCCAAATACAGTCACATTCTCAGGTATGGAGTTAGGACTTCAACGTATGAATTTCAGGGACACATAATTCAGCTCATAAGAGAACTGAAATGTATTGTTTAGGAAAATAACTAACATATTACATAAATAAAATTGTTGGGAGTCAAGCAGAACAGAGTGAAAGATACGTGTTATAATAAAAGTGGTAACGAATTCAGACTTATTGTAGGTGATAAGGCTCAGAAATTGTATAAGAAATAAGAGCAGAAGAGTTAATCATGGAGAATCTCTCCATGGAGACTGGAGGTGAGGATCATTGGGGGCATCTTGGAATGGGCTGCCACAGTGAGAGTGTGTGTGTGTGTGTGTGTGTGTGTGTGTGTGTGTGTGTGTGTGTGTTACATCATCATGAAGTTGATAACGTAAATTATATCATTAAATGAGGAAGGGTCAAAAGTTTCTCTCTGGACCATTTACATTCGTCAAGGTATAAATAGATAGATAATTTTTTTAAAGTATATTTGAGCATTGGTCTTTCTTAGAATTGTGTTGTTTGTATCAAATGAGCATCACAAATATTTTATGCAGAAGAAAGAAAAATTACAGTTAAAAAGCACAACAGAGCTATGATTAAGGACTTCCCTGGTGGTGCAGTGGTTAAGAGTCTGCCTGCCGACGCAGGGGACACGGGTTCGTGCCCCGGTCTGGGAAGATCCCACGTCCCGCGGAGCGGCTGGGCCCGTGAGCCACGGCCGCTGGGCCTGTGCCTTCGAAGCCTGTGCTCCGCCACGGGAGCGGCCACAACAGTGAGAGGCCCGCGTACCACAAAAAAACCCCCCCAAAAACTATGATTAAAAACATATATGCATTAAAGAAATCCAGAGTGAAAAAGTAATCAGAGCTAGGTGTGGATGTAGTAAATAACATTTTTTAAAGTGAATTCACTGCTGCAATGTTAAATTTTAAGAAAAATCATTCTAAGTAAGCAAAGTTGTCACAGAGAAAAATATCAGATAGTATATTAATATAAGTAGTTCTTAGTTGATCTCCAGGAAAAATTTGAAAATAAAAACTAACAATTTCTTTCAAAAATTTTAGAACATACCAATGCAACAAAAGACTATGATGTGGTATCTTATAATGATTAGATATTAATCATGTTTATAAAAATTATATTCACTTTTTTGGGGTATTAGCCTAATAGGCATATTTGGTCATAAATTATTAAAGGTTATCCTTTTGTGGTGTTAATACAACAGAAAGCAAATTGAAATATTTTATTTCTCCTTGGGTGGAAGAATTGCAAGAAAGACACTCAAGGACTATTTGCCTATTCATTTGTATTAAAGGTTTTCAATACTATATAATCCATTGTTATTAATACTTTAGAGCAGGGGACAGCAATGTTTTTCTGTAAATGTAGCCCTTTTTAGCCATGTGGTCTCTATCACATCTAATCCATTCCACAATTGTAGCATGAAAACAACCATCAAAAATACTAAACAAATAAACATGACTGTGTTCAATAAAACTTTAGGTATGGAGACTGAATTTTGAATTTCAAATAATTTTCATGTGTCACAAAATGTCTTCTTTTTATTTTCTTTTTCAAACCTTTATAAACATAAAAACCTTTCTTAGCTCATGCAAAAACAGAATAACAGGACAGATTTGATAAATGTCTATTTTAGAGCCACCCTATTAGCTTGCTTACAGGTTGACAAGATAGGCAAAGCACTAAATAGGCAGGAAATCACCACTGAAAAGCACATAAAAAGCATTAAGGCTCTTGAGCAGATTCCTAGATGTAAGCCCAGCTGCCTTCTGGGATACCTTAGTGCTAGATATCAAGCCACACCCACCTGGCTGATGTTGAGTTCATTGATTTTCTAACTGAAATATGCAGAGTGGCTGAACTGTTGGAAAATATATGCACTTTGTACAATCAGAGGTGATATAATTTTAGCAATAAATACATTACAGTTGGTTTTTCTGTGATAGTCCTATATCATTGTAATAGCTAACATATATAGAGTGCTTTCCATGAGAGGGAACTTGTCTAAGCACTTTAACTGCAGTAACATTTAATTCTCACCAAAATAAACCTAACAGGTGGGTATAATTGTTGTTCTCATTTTACAGGTTTTACCTTTCAAAATTCTTTCACTGTTTATCTGGCTTATATTGTCGTGTGTGTGTGTGTGTGTGTGTGTGTGTGTGTGTGTATTTGTCTAAACAAAAGAAAAAATGTATTAGTAATTCACAGATATGATAGACCATGACCACTATTATCAAAATCCCAGACCCATTCTTCTTTTCACATCCACTTAAATGATCTGAAGTAAAAGAGAGAAAATGTAAATATTCTACCAACCTAATGAGTACACAATAGGTATGACAACTATGAGCGTTACTCTCAGTGCCTGTGCCATGAGGTCTGAGAAAGCATTTGGTGCACTATCCTTCTCATATAACCTTCCAAACAGAGTTACTGTCAAGATAGGTCCAGATGGTGGCTTCTGGCTGCACAAGCATCCATCACTTGACACCTATTTAAAACACAGGGAAGTTGACTGAGAATAACTTTCAGTTATACAACCTCACAACATACTCTTAAAATTCAGTACAACTGGATGAAGAAACAGTAAAAATAATGGCCAGATTCTATTCCATCTGAAATATGTGAAATTGAACAGAGTATAAGAAAAATTGGAGCTATGGAATTGGCACTGATTCATTTATTATTGAAATGCCCATAATCTATATCTTATAATTTACCCTGAGAGAGCATCTGATGAGTTAATAAACATAAAACAATGGATCTGAGAATAATTAAGAGAGAAATCTTGTTCTCGCCGACAAGGAAAAGACTCCTCCGAAGGGTCAGGTGGGCTTGACTAAGGGGGTTATAGGCTGAGCCTCTATCATCCCTGACACTCACTCACCACAGCCTCCCTACCTGCCTATTGTCCCCAGCTCCCCACAGCAACTGTTTGTTAGAGGAGAGGGGAGTGAGAGCAGGACCTGCAGGAAAAGTCAGTAGAAGAATGTGGCTGGACAGAGCACTTGCACAGTAATAAATTATTTCTTGCATATTAACAACAAAAAAAAAGGTTTTGCTTTCTTGCCAATTCAGCGACTCTCCAATTCTCTCTCAGCTTTTCCTTCTTTCCTTTTGTCTGATGGTCACACGGTGCCCTAGGCCATCCCTCCCCAATGACACAAAGAGGCTTCCTCTGGTGGGACTGGTCCTGAAACTCTTCTTGAGTCTTCTTTCTACTTGACAGACCGTAAACACCCCAGCCCACTCCCTGAAGCTCCCACAATAAGATATATTTCTTTATTCTCAAGGACACGCTCATTTATCTCTAAGGGAATTTTAGACAAGAGTTCCCATGCCCTCAGTGTCCTTGGTGAGCCCTAAAGACAATTTTACCCTTTCCAAATGAAGGTATTCATGATATCTGTAAGCACCTGGGCAGGTTTTCTACTCAAAAGATGCTTCCTCTTACATAAAATGAGTTGGCAATATTAAGCAAAAAATCGTACCTGAAATTCTCCAGGTGCAAGCTGAATTTCACTCAGCAACACCTCAGGGAAGACATACTGGGTTTCAAAAGTGCCACTGAGGGAGAACATTTCAAACCTGGTGGAAGCGGTTTCAACTGAATCACCACAAGTGTGTAAGTCCATTGTTTTACACTTCAACAGAGTACAAATCTAGGAACGTAAAAACAAAACAATAAGTCTTCGGAAAGCCAGTTGAAACATTCTCTTGACCTAGAAAAAAGTTCCTACGCCCCTTTGTTTATAATGTTTGTTATACTACTCCTTCCTCATTAGATTAATCTGGTTCATTGCTGAATACTATTGCAACTAGTAATAAAAATAAAGGACTTCAGACACTAGTGCTTTCTGCAGTTCACTGTAAACAGATTAAACCACGTAAAGAAATAATCAGATCCTTGGTCTATAGTCATGAACAATTATATCCTAATTGTTTTCAAGTTAGCCATGTTTTTAATAATCAAAAGTGTTTGATTATTTTTAAAAGTTTAGACACTAGTTTAATTTCTACCTTAGTGCCTATTTCTAACAATGAAGGAACTTTAAATTTGTACTGAGTCCTAGAGTTCATCTAGAGACAACTCTCGTGATCTGGAAAAGTCACATACCTTATACTTAGGCAGGATAATAACAGCTCTCATTATCCTACGTAGTTATACTGTACTACACTACAATACATGGCTATTTGCATGTAAATTTAAGTGTATGAATCACCTCACCATGCAGATGCAAAGTCCCCAAAAGGAAGATCCATCTTCATTTAACTCCATCTGTACTGCATCTTCAAAGCTTTACTCCAAGCCACCTTTATTTCTTGCCTGACTAAAGCAATAGCCCCTAACTGGTCTCCCTGCTTCCACTTTTGAAGTTGGAGAGCAAGCGTTTTAGGGCAAGTGTGTCAAGATGGGATACAAATAACTTTCAGATAAAGGTAGAATGAACACATGCTTCAATCTTGTTCCCTTGCAATCCTACTAAAGCCAACATTATTATTATTATTTTTTTTGGAAGATCTAAACCCACAAGGTTAGGAGAACAGGAGGATAGATAATGGCACAAGTTTAGAAGTTGGGGTGTTGATGCAAAAATGGTAACTAAGGAAGCAAACCAAGTGCCCATCAACAGACTATTGGATTAAGAAGATGAGGTACAGGGCTTCCCTGGTGGCGCAGTCGTTGAGAATCTGCCTGCCAATGCAGGGAACATGGGTTCGAGCCCTCGTCTGGGAAGATCCCACATGCCGTGGAGCAACTAGGCCCATGAGCCACAACTACTGAGCCTGCGCGTCTGGAGCCTGTGCTCCACAACAAGAGAGGCCACGATAGTGAGAGGCCTGTGCACCGTGATGTAGAGTGGCCCCCGCTTGCTGCAACTAGAGAAAGCCCTCGCACAGAAATGAAGACCCGACACAGCCAAAAATAAATAAATTTAAAAAGAAAAAAAAAGATGAGGTACATATATACAATGGAATATTACTAAGCCATAAAAAGAATGAAATATTACCATTTGCAGCAACGTGGATGGACCTAGAGAATATTATACTTAGTGAAATAAGTCAGACAGAGAATGTGGAATCTAAAAAATGATACAGGGCTTCCCTGGTGGCGCAGTGGTTGAGAGTCCGCCTGCCGATGCAGGGGACACGGGAGGATCCCACATGCCGCGGAGCAGCTAGGCCCGTGAGCCATGGCCGCTGAGCCTGTGTGTCTGGAGCCTGTGCTCTGCAATGGGAGAGGCCACAACAGTGAGAGGCCCCCGGACTGCAAAAAAAAAAAAAAAAAAAAAAAAAAAAAGATACAAATGAATGTGTAAAAAAAAAAAACTGAAACACACTCATAGATATAGAAAACAAATCTGTGGTTACCAAAGGGAAGAAGGAAGTTGCGAGGGACAAATTAGGGTATGGGATTAACAGATACACGTTACTATACATAAAATAGATAAGCAACAAAGGTATACTGTATAGCACAGGAAATTACACCTATTATCTTGTAAAAACCTATAATGGAATTTAATCTGCAAAAATACTGAATCACTATGTTGTACACCTGAAACTAACACTATATTATAAATCAACTAAAGTTCAATTTAAAAAATGGTAACTGATTTAACAGACCTAAGAAAGCCAAGTTCTGAACTAGCTGTGGGGAAAGGTAAGCATCAACCTATCTAAACTTTTGAGAATACTCAAAAGTTTCCATCTCTGGAAGCACTAGGTACCTCAGAAGCTGGGAGTAAATTGGGGTGCTTGAAGAAAGGAAAATTTGTGGGAAGTTGTTAAGAATGCCTCAATACTGAGTCCCCACCCATGGATGGGCAGCTACCCTTTCCCTCTTCCAGTAAAAGATGGAATACTTATTTCCAGAGAGGGTAAAGCAGACGATGTTTAGGTGGAGGTTTGAAAGACATATTTGAAGGGGATTCCTTGAATGAATCGAACTGAATGGTAAAACCATCCCCCTCCACCCTGCAAGGTCATTTCCCTCACCTGATTCTCTAAATGCTGTCAAAAAAGGCATTTATCCTTCAGGAATAGGGTTGCCAGATAAATTACAGGACAGGAGTCCCAGTTAAATCTGAAGTTCAGCTAAACTAAAAAAACTAAAACCAGTTTTTAGTATAAATATGTCCCAACTATTGCATGGACATACTTATTTTTTTTTAAGTTGCTGTTTATCTGAACTTTGAATTTACCTGGGCATTCTGTGTTTTTATTTGTTAAATTATTCAGGAAGGGAAATAGAAGAATTTTTCTTTTTGCGGTACGCGGGCCTCTCACTGCTGTGGCCCCTCCCACCGCGGAGCACAGGCTCCGAACGCGCAGGCCCAGCAGCCATGGCTCACGGGCCCAGCCGTTTCACGGCACGTGGGATCCTACCGGTCGAGGGTACGAACCCGTGTTCTCTGTATCGGCAGGCGGACTCTCAACCACTGCGCCACCAGGGAAGCCGGGAAATAGAAGAATTTTGAAACCTGGAAAACCTAAGCATCCCAAAGGGAAGTCTCTAAAGATACTTACCTCAGGGATTCCTCTAACCAAAAGCCCAGCTAGACCGTCCCTCTGTGAAGCTTAAAATTGGCAAGTATCACCCACATGCTCAGAACTTTTAGTCAGTTTTGGTAACCCTAAAAAGTCACCATATCCATGAAGAAAGCTTCTAGATTTAGAATTTTAAATTCGAAAACCTGTCTGGCACCAGTGGCTTAGCTAGGGGATCACTGTCCAGCAACAATAACAGAGGACTTCGTTTCACTTGACAGCACTAACCAACCTCCCAACACCAAGAAGAGACCTACCGCCGATCCCCTCAAGTGGAACCAAGACTCTGGGGCAGGCAGAGAAGCAGACAAGACTGAGAGGGAAGGATGGAAAAGAGGGAGGAAGAGCTGAGAGACTGCTGCCCTGTGTTTTAACCAGGTTTTGAAACTTAAAACTAGATCACAAAATAATAATAAAAAAATAATAATCACAATTTTTTAATTTTAAAAATATGGCAGTATAAAACCATATATATACCACATATGTAACACAATATATGTCAATATGCTGCATAATATATGATAATATTTATATGGCAATAAATATTCTTCTACAAGATAATTTTTTAAACTAATTTCCAATCATTGGACATTCTCTACCTGTGTTTTTTATACCATTTTTCCCCCTTTCTTCTAGCACCTCAGAGCACTGATAAGAAATACTGATTCCACTGGTATTTTCATCCTTTCCTTTCTTCTT